AATAAAAGAAAAATACTCTGTGCAAAGGTCAGCAATCTCAAAGGTTGAAGGTGAATAAGCTCATAAAGATGAGGAAGGATCTGTGCAAGAACACAAACTCAAAAAGTCAGCATGCCTTCTTTCCTCCAGATGATTACATCAATTGTTCAGCCTGTTGAAGTTTTCAGAACTGGCCAGAGGCTGACATGTCTGAAATGATACAAGTAGAATTCAGAATGTGGGTAGAAACAAAGTTCACTGAGTGAAAGCAGTATGTCATGATCCAATGCAAGGAAGCCAAAAATCATTGTAAAACATCGCAGGAGCTAACAGGCAATATAGCCAGTATAAGGAACCTTACCGGTGCTTGCTTTGGCAGCATATATATTAAAATTGAAACGATTCAGAGAAGATTAGCATGGCCTCTGCCCAAGGATGACATGCAAATTCAAGAAGCATTCCATAGTTTTAGGTAGAATCAATATAGTAGAAATGGCCATACTGCCCAAAGTAATTTATAGATTCAACGCTGTCCCCATCAAGCTACCAATGATCTTCTTCAAAAAACTGAAAAAAAAAAAAACCTTAAACTTCATATAGAACCAAAAGAGAGCCAATAGAACCAAGAAAATCCTAAGCAAAAATAACAAAGCCAGATGCATCATGCTACCTGATTTTAAACTACACTACAAAGGTACAGTAATCAAAACAGCATGGTACTGGTACCAAAAAAGGATATAGACCAATGGAACAGAAAAGAGGCCCTAGTGGCAATGCCACACATCTACAAGCATCTGATCTTTGACAAACCTGGCAACAACAAGCAATGAGAAAGGATTCCCTGTTTAATAAATTGTGTTGGGAAAACTCGCTGGCAGTGTGCAGAAAGCAGAAACTGGACCTCTTCCTGACACCTTACACTAGAATTAACTCCATATGGATTAAAGATGTAAACATAAGACCTAAAGCCATACAAAATCTAGAAGAAAATCTAGGGAAAACCATTCAGGACATAGGCATAGGCAAGGACTTCATGACTAATACCCCAAAAGCATTGGCAAAAAAAGCCAAAATAGACAAATGGTACTAATTAATCTCCAGAGCTTCTGGACAGCAAAAGAAACAATCATTAGAATGAACCAGCAACCAACAGAATGGGGAAATATTTTTGCAATTTACTCTTCTGACAAAGGGCTAATATCCAGAATCTACAAAGAACTAAAACAGATTTACAAGAAAAAAAAACCCATCCAAAAGTGGGTAAAAGTTATGAACACACAAGTTTGAAAAGAAGATATATATGAGGCCAATAAACATATGAAAAAGTGGTCATCATCACTGGTCATTATAAAAATGCAAATCAAAACCACATTGAGATACCACCTTATGCCAGTTAGAATGGTGACCGTTAAAAAATCTGGAGACAACAGATGCTGGAGAGCATGTGGAGAAATAGGAACACTTTTACACTGTTGCTGGGAGTGTAAACGAGTTGAACTATTGTGGAAGACAGTGTGGCACTTCCTCAAGGACCTAGAAATAGATATACCATTTGAGCCAGCAATCCCATTACTGGGTATGTACCCAAAGGATTATAAATTATTCTCTAATAAAGACACATACACACGTATGTTCAGGGTGGCACTGTTTACAATAGCAAAGACCTGGAACCAACCCAAATGCCCATTGATGATAGACTGGACAAGGAAAATGTGGCACATATACACCATAGAATACTATGCAGCCATAAAAAATGATGAGTTCGTGTCCTTTGCAGGGACATGGATGAATCTGGAAACCATCATTCTTGGCAAACTGACAGAAGAACAGAAAATCAAACACCACATGTTCTCACTCATAGGCAGGTATTGAATAATAAGAACACATGNCCTTCTTTCCTCCAGATGATTACATCAATTGTTCAGCCTGTTGAAGTTTTCAGAACTGGCCAGAGGCTGACATGTCTGAAATGATACAAGTAGAATTCAGAATGTGGGTAGAAACAAAGTTCACTGAGTGAAAGCAGTATGTCATGATCCAATGCAAGGAAGCCAAAAATCATTGTAAAACATCGCAGGATCTAACAGGCAATATAGCCAATATAAGGAAGCTTACTGGTGTTCACTTTGTCAGCACATACGTTAAAATTGAAACTATTCAGAGAAGATTAGCATGGCCTCTGCCCAAGGATGACATGCAAATTCATGAAGCATTCTGTATTTTTAGAAGGAATCAATATTGTGAAAATGGCCATACTGGCCAAGTAATTTATAGATTCAGTGCTGTCCCCATCAAGCTACCAATGACCTTCTTCACAGAACTGGAAAAAACCACCTTAAACTTCATATGGAACCAAAAGAGAGCCCGCATAGCCAAGACAATCCTAACCGAAAAGAACAAAGCGGGAGGCATCATGCTACCTGATTTCAAACTATACTACAAAGCTACAGTAATCAAAACAGCATAATACTGGTACCAAAACAGAGACATAGACCAATGGAACAGAACAGAGTTCCTGGTGGCAACGCCACACATCTACAACCATCTGATCTTTGACAAACCTGGCAACAACAAGCAATGGGGAAAGGATTCCCTGTTTAATAAATGGTGTTGAGAAAACTCGCTAGCAGTGTGCAGAAAGCAGAAACTGGACCTCTTCCTGACACTGTACACTAGAATAAACTCCAGATGGATTAAAGATCTAAACATAAGACCTAAAGCCATAAAAAATCTAGAAGAAAACCTAGGCAAAGCCATTCAGTACATAGGCATAGGCCAGGACTTCATGACTAAAACCCCAAAAACATTGGCAACAAAAGTCAAAATAGACAAATGGGACTTAATAAAACTCCAGAGCTTCTGTACAGCAAAAGAAACAATCATTAGAGTGAACCGGCAACCAACAGAATGGGAAATTATTTTGCGATCTACCCATCTGACAAAGGGCTGATATCCAGAATTTACAAAGAACTAAAACAGATTTACAAACAAACAAACAAGCAAACCATTGAAAAGTGGGCAAAGGATATGAACAGACACTTTTGAAAATAAGATATATATAAGACCAATAAACATAGGAAAAAATGCTTATCATCACTGATTATTAGAGGAATCAAAACCATCTTGAGGTATCACCTCATGCCAGTTAGAATGGTGACCATTAAAATATCTGGAGACAACAGATACCAGAGAGCATGTGTAGAAATAGGAACACTTTTACACTGTTTCTAGGAGTGTAAACTAGTTGAACTGTTGTGGAAGACAGGGTGGCACTTGTTAAAGGACCTAGAAATAGAAATTCCATTTGACCCAGCAATTCCATTACTGGGTATATACCCAAAGGATTATAAATTATTCTATTATAAAGACACATGCACACGTATGTTCAGAGTGGCACTGTTTACAATAGCCAAGACCTGGAACCAACCCAAATGCCCATCAACGATAGACTGGACAAGGAAAATGTGACACATATGCACCATGGAATACTATGCAGCCATAAAAACGATGCGTTTGTGTCCTTTGTAGGGACATGGATGAATCTGGAAACCGTCATTCTCAGCAAACTGACAGAAGAACAGAAAAACATTGCTTGTTCTCACTCATACTTGGGTGTTGAATAATGAGAAGACATGGACACAGGGAGGGGAGCATCAGACACTGGGGTCAGTTTGGGGATGGCCAACAGAGGAGCAACGGGGGTTGTGGAGGTCAGGGAGAGAGAACATGGGGAGAAATGCCAGTTGCAGGTGATGAAATGGAGGCAGCAAACTACATTGCCATGTATGTACCTATGCAAAAATCCTGCATGATCTGCACATGTACCCTAGAACCTAAACTACAATTAAAAAAAAAAAAAAGAAAGAAACTGCTATGATAGAGCTGAAAAGCACACTACAAGAATTTTCATAATGCAGCCACATGGTAATTGTGTCTGATTGCATTATGAAAATTGTTTTAGTGTGTGTGGGCACCTAAGGGTGCCCTGTAAGCAGGTGTGGCCAGGCTGGGGTCCTGGGAGAGGCAAGCAGACTAAGGAGTGCTGAGGTCAGACCAGCACCATCTCATGTGCAAGACCACCTAGTAGAATAGACCAAACAGAGGAAAGAGTCTCAGAGCTTGAAACCTGGCTTTCTGAAAGAAAAGAGGCAAGAATGGGGGAAAAGAATGAAAAGGAATGAATAAATGCTTTGAGAAATAAAGAATTATGTAAAAAGACGATATATATGCCTTATTAATGTAACTGAAAGAGATGACGAAAATGGAACCAACTTGGAAAACATATTTCAGAATATCATTCATGAGAATTTCCCCAACATAGCCCGACAGACCAACATTGAAATTCAGGAAATCCAGAGAACTTCAAATATGCCACAAGAAGAACATCCCAAAGACACATAATCATCAGGTTCTCCAAGGTCAAAATGAAAGAAAAATTGTCAAAGGCAGCTAGGGAGAAAGACAGGGTCACCTACAAGGGGAATCCTATCAGACTAAGAGTGGACTGCTTAGCTGACACCCTACAAGCCAGAAGAGACATTCAACTTCTTAAAGAAAAAAATTTCAACCCAGAACTTCAAGTCCAGCAAAACTAAGTGTCATAAGTGAAGGAGAAATAAGATCGTTTTCAGGCAAGCAAATGCTGAGGGAATTCATTACCAGCAGATCTACCTTACAAGAGCTCCTGAAAGTAGCACTTAATATGGAAAGAAAAGATCATCACCAGCCACTACAAAAATGCACTGAATTACACAGACGAGTGATGCTAAAAAACCAACCATATACGCAAGTCTGC